AAGCCAAGAGCTTAACCACTGTGCCTAGGAAGCCTATGCCTGCAACAATGGCTAAAATTTGAAGCTCTGACCATAGCAAATGTTGGCATAAAAATGGCGTGGGGGCAGTGTCTGACCTCTTCTAACTTCACAAGGGGGAAGGAGAATCAAGATCGACTGACCAAGGCTGATTCCTATGAGGTGGAGGTCAGACATGCCTCCTCTCTCCGCCATCTTTACCAATTCCAACACCAACTGTCCCTCCCCACGGCGCTCTCTACTTCTCTGCTGGGTTCGATAATTCATTGCATTGGCCACACAAAACTCATAGACAATACTCACGATTAGGGGGTTTATTAGGGAAGTAACAGGTTACACTTCAGGTTCAGGTACACTGAGGATACAGTTCTCCCATCGGGACAACCTCTTCCCAGCCGTGTTCACAGGCAGGCCTCTCCGTGGACCTCAGCCCTGCCCTGCTAGTGTTACAAAGCTCTGACAGTAAGTGCCCAGAGGCGCTCTACTCTGCCAGCAAGCCTCCTGCCCAAAGGCACTCAGCTTTCTCTCTCTGTGGTCTTCTGCCCGTCTCTCCTGCCACCACGTCTCACCATCTTCAGGGTCATGACTCACAGTCTGTCTCTGTCTCCTGGTTCCAGGAGCTTCTCAGTGCAGGGATCCCAGGTCCAAAGGATGCTCTCCCCTCCTGGCTGTTCTTCCTTGATGATGATAGGATCCTCTCTCTCCCACCTCTGGGATGCCTCACCTCAAGCCCAGTGGGACATCAAAAACTGACCAATCCCTTCGGTGGGCCATAATTACCCTGTCTACACAGTCCTGCCCAATCACTTGGGTAGGAGTTATAAGACCACACAAAAGCAATCCATTGCACCATAGTTGGTGAGAATGTGGAACTCCCCCATACATTGCTGGTGGGAAGGTAAAACGGTATAACCACACTGGAAAAGTTCAGAAGTTTCTTAAAAGAAATAACCCGGCCATGCTGCTCCTAGGTAGTTACCCAAGAAAACTGAACTGAAAGCTTGTACACAAATGTTTTAATTAATAGTTGCAAAAAAAAAAAACCCCAAATTTCCATAAATAGGTGAATGGATAACAGATTATGATATATTCATACAATGGAATACTGTTGTTGCTGTTAATTGCTGTTGAGTCAATTGTAACTCGTGGAGAGCCCATTCATGCAGAGTAGAACTGCTCCCTAGGGTTTTAAAGGCTGTGACATTTTGGAAGCCGATCACCAGGCCTGTCTTCCAAGGCACCTCTCAGTGGGTTTGAACCTCCAACCTTTTGACTAGTAGTTCAGTGTTTAACCGTTTGCACTACCAGGGATTCCTTACAATGGAATACTACTCAGCAATCAAAACGTTGAATGAACCAAGTGTATGTATGATATAGCCCGAAAGAGTGCCTGCAATGCTACATTTATTCACTAGGTGGCGACAAAGCCCAGTCATTTCTAGTTCCATCCGTATGCGGCTCCTGTGGTTACCCCTCCTTGCTGTAGCAGGCACCCTCACACATACACACGCACACATACACACGCACACACTTGTTGCCATGGAGTTGAGTCACAGCAACCCTATAGGACAGAGTAGAACTGCTGGTGGATTTGAACTGCCAACCTTTTGGTTATTAGCCGAGCTCTTAACCACTGTGACTCCAGGGCTCCATAGCAGGCAGACACAAACATTTATCTCCATTTAACAGAGGTCCGGAGAGGGCAGGAAGCGCCCCCTAGCTTGCTAGCTTGATGGAGCCAGGATCTGTCTGATCCATGTCTCCCAGATTTCTGGGCTTCCAAATCAACAACCCAGGTGACCCTCCCAGGTCTTGCTTTTCCCCACACTCTGTTCAGTACCCCCAATCCTCTCACTCTACTGGCTTCCTCCTTCTGTCCATCCCAACTAGTCTTGACCTGGGTCTGGGATCTGCTTTACAGGTGAGGGCACTGAGGCTTGAGAAGGGAGGTTTGCAGAGGCAGGGGAATGGTGGAGCTGCCGCTTGAATCCAGGTGTGTGTCTTAGTCACTTATCAGGATTATCAGGAAGATGAAAGCAGAAAGTGACAGCCTTCTGGAGAGCTGTAGTAGTATATAAAGGACGTGCCCAGGGTGTGTGTATATTTTCAAGGGTAGCCCCTTGACTTGGGCATACCAGCTCAGGGAACTTGACATTGACTTCCTTCCCCCACTCCCTTTCTGTAGTCAGAGGGTGTGACTTCTGGCCTACATGTCTGCCCCTTCCTGTTGCCCACACTTCTGATCAGTGTCCAGCCTTTACATTTCCAATCCTGGCCAGCTCTGAACCTGCTCAATCCCAGGACCATGTTGCCTCTGGCAAACCTCCAGCCCCTGCTCTCACCCCTTTACTCTCCAATGAAGTCCTTGTGCTTCCAGGGAGCAAAGACCAGGGGACCGGAAAGAACATGGGAGACGTTCGTCTCAAAGATGCATTTGGCACCTCTGCAGCATAGCACTTAACCAAACCCAGGGCCATGCAGTATGTCTAGTCCAACTCCCACAACCAGGGACCGAGTTGCCCCACTCCCAACCTCAAGAGCCTGTGGCTTGCACCCGCTGGGTAGGTTGTGGGTCAGCCTGCTGCTGACCTCTGGCAAGTCCCTTTCCCTGTCTGAGCTGTTGCTTCATCCATGAGAACATCCTACACGCTGAAGACAAAACAGCAACATGGCTGTTGAGAGGTTGGAGGCTGAGGCTGAAATTCCAGCTCTGCTGCCTTGGCAAAGTGACTCAACCAGGACCTGCTTCCCAACTTATAAAATGTGAATGCCTTCCCTAGTTAAGGTAGCTGCTTGCTGAAGGCCCTCTGTTGGGCTGAGGGCAGCATCCTCCAGATTTTGGTCCCACACTCCAACATGGGTTAAGGGCAGGGATGGATGTAGAGGGTAAGTGGGGGGTTTGATGGGCAGTGAGGGATTCTACTTGCAACACAGGGGCAAGTTCACATTAGGTGCAGTTCAGTTCTTCACACAGCCAGATGCTGCTGGTACCCCAGAATTTTTAAGGTGATCAACAGGACCACACAACCAAGGCGTTTGTGCAGTCAGATGTCTGTAAATGTAAATCAACAAGGACTTCAGAGGGGGCACCAGCGAGCTATTTTATTCTCTACTAGAGCCCGTAAAATGTATAAGGGGCTTTCAGAGAAACAATGGATAGTCCCCCACCCCAGGCCATTTCTCTCCATGCCGGCCAGCAAGGTCCACAGCTACTTCGTAGTTGCTTACAGAAGTTGCCAGTTTTTGTCTGGCTGTCAGCGGGTATTTTAGGTAGTGGCCACTCACCCATCAACCCTCCACTTCTTTGCCAAGTCCCTACCCTACACTTGAAGACTGCTGTAATCAGGGGTGCAGTGTACGCATTAAACAGGTCAAACAGGACAAAGTGAGCCCCCCACAGAACAGCTATCTGCTCCCATCTACTCATGGAGAGGAGACTCGGTTCATACACAAAAGAACCACACCAGTGAAGAGCTTTTCAAGTTTTATTTTTATAAAATGTTAGGTTTTTAATAGTGAGGCTTCTGCAAACATTAACTGCACATGGAATTCCTGAAATTAAAAACAGGCAGTTACATTAAGTCACACCAAACAGAATTTCACATGAACAAGTGCAGGCTGCTGCCAAGTAAGATGTCCAATTGTAACCTATTTCACTAATTAATCTTACCCCTCTCCAGAGCCCAGCACCTAAGAAAATGAGTCAAGCAAAGACGCTGCAGGGATTTGAACCCCATCCTGGAAAACAGGAGTGCCAACCACCAGCATCTTTTGCTTTTTTTTTTTTAAAGCTAGGAAAAGGCCAAAAAGCAAAACCTGAGAAAACAAAAGCTTTTTTGTTTTCTCAGGAAAAGAAAAACCTTTACAGCCCTACTGAAGAGCTCTGGAGGATCTGCTTCAGCTAAGATGCTAGCTTGATCAAGTCTCTTACATTCACCTGAAAAAGTCTTAGCAGAGAATTTTTGCAACCCCACCCACCAACAGCCCTCAACAACTAAAATGCCTTTTACATTCCCTCCCCAACATAAGGCTTTTCTTAAAACATGTTACTTCTCCATTTACTGGTTTAAGGTGGTTTTAGCTGCTGAATAATAGTGTTATATATGTAACCAGGGCTACTTATCTGTGGTTTTAATAACAATGTTCTGTTAATTTACAGGCAAATTAATGGCCTTCTCTAGCAGACCTCGGCACCATTGTTACCTTGAAACAGATTAGGGGTCATGCCCACAAGGATCCAAGCTACCAGCTGCATCGAGGTGAGGGGTGAAGGGTCTGCGCTAGGCCAAAGGCAGGGGTGGCGATGTGGCAGAGAAGTCACTTGAGGGGAGACCTTGCTTTTAACAGGCTTCTGGAAAAGCTAGGGAAAAGTGGTTGCCCGCTTTCCCCCCTTTCCCTCCCCTTCAAGTTGTTTGAGGTTTGGGCTTTAAGAGCTGCTCTGAAAACAGCTCATTTAAATGTTAAGACAGCCCAGCGATACACAAGGTACTAGAGTGGGGCATTCAAAGGAATGTTTCACTCCCGGCGCCTCAGTGCAGGTCTGCAGAGGCACTGAGGCAAGTCCTCATTGCTAATAGAGAGTAACAGACTTATAAAGCTGACACCATGTTTGTTGACCTTAGCTTAATAGTGCTTTGTTGTCTCTCTTGCCACAGGAAGGCTCCGTAGTTGTCCTACGTTAAGCCTGCGGTGCCTTTAGTGAAGAGTACCTGGAAAATCTTAAAAAAAAAGGCTTAGCGCCCACCTCACCCCTCCACCCCCGTTGTCAACACACAACTTGCTCACATGCTCTCAGCATAAAGCTGAACAATCTAAAGCTGTAAACTATTTACCAATAACTGATCTGACTTTGTACAGAAATACAGAAAAGGCTTGTTCACCTGTTGTCCTCATTTTGTCCACTGGTGAATTCAACTGGAAGCTCCTTCTATTAAAGTCTGAAGAATACCATCTGAAAGAACTAGTGGTTCCCAATCCCCACATTTAACATGGAATGTTTGGTTGGTGGCGTTAATATTTAAAGTAAATTAAGCTATTTTTTCCTTACTGAGTCTGGCTTCTCTGGCCCTTCGCATACCGTCTGCTGTTTTGAATGTTCCTGCATGTAAGAATTAAGACCAAGGGAGGGGAGAGAGAAACCCACACAAGACAATGCACTAAGACCACTGAACTGTTAAATGTTTCACTTGCCAGTTAAATCTCTTGAAGACTTGCTTGTTTGGGATTTATTTCTTGTCACTGATTTTAAAGTTGTATCTGGAAAACACTAAAGGCTTCAGTGTCCCCCCACCCCCCTACCAAAAGGCAACAAAAAGCATTTTACCTAAAGCAGCCCAGCAAAAGGTATTTGGTTTTCAATCACAAACATGACTGCTTAAAGCTGCAGAAACTTCAACACTCAGCCTTATCACTCAGCTGGATTTCCTTCAACAATCACTACTCCAAGCACTGGGGGGAAACACAACTTTGACTCATACTCCAGTCGTTTCACAATGCATCCTAATAGCAGCAGGTCAGAACAGTACTGCGTATTACTTGCCAACAGAACACAGACCTGAGGTCAAGACAACTGCATTCTCTTTGTGTAGTCTGTAAAAAAAAAAGCTAGAACAAGTAAGCCCCCCCTCCCTCCCTCCCCCCAAATTCAGGGGGAAAATTTTACATGAGTATGCTGATAAACTCACTGCAAGGTCTCACACACTCACTAGGAGAGCAGAAGGCAGAGCCAAGCGCTTATATGCAAGTCAATATTCTGAACAGTTCCGTGAAGGATGGAATGAAGCCTCTGCAAACGAAACTCTTCAAAAACCCACATGCCCCACAAATGACTACAAAGATCAGTAAGTGTAAACATCGGCTAACACTAGATGAAATGATTAAAACACTTAAAAGTTAACATGCAAACTTTGCAAATGTGATTACTACTTTCACTCTGTTTTAACCACTGTCAATTTATAGCCCTCTGACTTTCTGGAAACAAAATGCGTAGTTACCTGTTACTCTGATTATACAATCTCCCACCTGTCTAAGAGGTATTTATTCCTTATTTAGAGAACCTCTATTGCCATGTGCCTGGAATTATTAAACGCTCATCACTTTACGAAGGAGTAAGTTTTGTCTTTCCTGCCTTAAAAAAGTTAAATTCGTTCTTCTGCTCAATTCCTGATCTTGTCCATTAAAGAGTGTTCGCAGACAAAGTTTCTGAAAGATTAGAGAAGAATCCCCCCAAGATTGCCCAACACTAACTACACACAAACAATATTTTATTTAAATAAGGAGACGGTTTCTAAAAACATACATTCTCTAATAAAATGTTTTATTATTTTCAACGATTTAATGGTTTATCTGCACAAATACTACACAACACATATAAATTTTATCAAGATTAACACATCTGATTTGCTGACGCATTATGCTATTATTCATACGGATTTCTGATTCAACGTTAAATTTCCTTAGTTCTGTAAACACTACCATATAATTAAGGCCACTAACCTCTGTGAGAGGCTCTGACGGAATTACCTGCCTCCAATGGAAGTGTGCGATCCCCATTCAGCATGGAAACTTAAGACCTAATTAAAATGCTCGACCGGAAAAATCCCACAATCCTGGAATCCCCTAGGGAAGGGGTCAGGAATACTGAAGGCCTCTCCACAGCTCTTAAATAAAAATAGGCATTTAGCCCTAACATGCAATTCTGTAGATGCAAGTTTAACTTATCTGTTAACAGCTGCCTGTTTTCTGTTCGCAGATGAAATGAAGCAACTCTTCTGATAATTACGAAGAGAAACCTGTCTGAGGCAAACAAAGATTGGCACACAGCACAGCCTCCTGTCAATCCACTTGATCCCACTCATCTCTTAATATTTCAGCTTCTTTTATTCCAGGGTTAATGTGGAAAAATCATTTTCATTTCGTTCCACTTTATTCTGCCTTTGTAAAAGCAGTATTTTGAGATGGAATTTATCTTCATTGTTAAGATTTCTCATCATTTTTATTTGTGGGTATAGCTTGATACGCCAAGCTGTAACTTTAAAATGGCAGATTCCGTAACTTTAAAATTGACAGCTTTCATTTGCGTAAATTTTTTGCATATGCAGACAAATAGATTCTGTGTTCATCAGTAGTAAACATCTGGTTATGATTTTTGCCCAATGGAGGTAGGAAATATAATCTTTTCTGCCTTTACTTATCATTCACCAAGGAGTTGTTCCCTCTGCATCTAGGCCATCATATTGCCAGGCTGGTTATGACTCAGAAGATGTTATCTGAAAAAAGTCTACAGAAAAAAAAGGTTTCCCCTCCCTCATCAACAAAAACCCACCCTCTAAAGACATTCAAGCTAAACTACCACAATCCGTTTATCAATTATAATTTACAAATATTTTAAGATGCAAATTTAAAACAATTTACATTTTGAGGCATACCTTAACATCTTGTTCTGCAGTCAAAGTAAAAATGTTTCCTACACTCAAAAAAACCTTAGACACAACTGAAAATAGAATCTTACTTGATAATACATAATCTACCATCAGAGGAAATCCCTTCAGGATCTTTAAGTCACTTCCTTTGCTCTGAAGTTCCTACAGTAGTATTAAGTTATATTAAATCACCTGAAAAAAATTCCAAAAGAGAACCACACACTACCATATCCAAACAACTATCATGTTTTAAAAAATCCCCCGACATTTTACACCTAATTAATGTCAAGCCCGGGAGGCCAGACCAACCCCCCCACCCCCCGTCCAATATTTTTCTTGCCCAGCCCCTACACTGAGAGAACAGGTAACATACCAAAGTATGGTTGACTTTCCCTGCCCAAATTAATGCACTGGTACACCCCACCTTAACTTCCCCAAGCTGCCCAATTCAAAAATTGAGAAAGCAATTAACCAGAGCATTGGGAGTTACTTGCCAACTTGGAAGTTGAGATTTCTTTAGTTTTTCCATTCTAAGTATTTAAGTTCTCTGGTATGAGTTATCTGAAAACATAAACTAAACAATTACCTAACCCCAACCCTCCCAATCCCAACCATAACAGGCACTGTCAACGACTGCACAACAATCCCTCCCCTTTAACATTTTAAAAATCATATTGTTTGAAAACTTAACTTCGCACATTTGGCCTAGTCAAGCTCTTCTGGTCTCCTGAGATGACTGAATATGAACCAAAGCTGCACTGTGCTGTACTTTTTTTCAGCTTCAACTGGGAATACTCTTCCAAGGAAAAAAGCAGCTCCAATCCTTGGACATGTTCGTGTCAACAGCATAGCAGTACAATCCTTCTCTAACTCAGTTTGTCAATAGTACTATAGCATCTGTGGAGAATCTTAGAAAAAACATTTCCTCCCCCACCCCCTTCTGTTCCCTGTTAAGACCACCCCAAAATACTTCAAGTAAAAACAGTAAGTTTAAGGGATTATTTTTTAAAAATCTGATGAAAAAACAGAAATAATATAACTACCAGCCATTTCTCCAATGGACAGCTCCTCCACAGACCTCAAAGTGAGAGCTACTGGTGCTCTAGTTTCTAGAACTGTTAAATCTGGTGCTCTGATTATGCTGATACTGGATTTTCTTTTTTCTGTGACCTTGAGTCATTTGCCTTTGGCACTCTAGACAGACCTAAGGGAAAAGGAACTCAAAACATATTCCCCCCCCCCCCCCCCACAAAAATAACCTTCCCCCCACTGAGTTACACACCCAGACTCCCTATTTCGAAAATTTTAATTCAGAATGAGGAAAGAAAAATAGGTCATCTATTCACAAAGCTGAAATGTATCTTTATCCCACGCTAGAAACTGCTTACAAATTTGCTGAAATTTTGTCTCAAGGTAGGTTCTATCAAATTCATCCGGCTTCCCTCAATTTGTTTAAAAAACAGTTTGCCATCTACCATTCCTCCGGGCCTTGGCAGTCTGCCCTCAAAAGCTTCAGACAAGATGCATGAGAAAACAAGCCTGAAAAAGAGAAACCTACGACACCCGGAAATCGGCCTACACCCTCGTCAGACATCCCTTTACCGTTAGGAAAGCATTTTAATGAAAGTAGGTTACCAAACTTCGGTTACGGAGAAAACACGAACACACAGCCGAGCCGGACTCGCCTTTACCGCTCACTCGCTCCCTTGCTCCCCGGCGCCCGCCGGTCTAGGCTCCGCTACACCTACGCGCCGCCGCCTCCAAGCCGCCCGCCGGCTGCAGCCCAAGCCGCAGCGGCCGCTCCTTCCTGGCTTCCTCGCCTAGCTTCACACCAGCGTACGGCGCCTTCCTTCTTCCTAGCTCCTCCACCACACCGGCTCCTGGGCTGCTCCTTCCTACTCCACCTCGCACCGCTGGCTGCTCTGGCCCGCTCCGACAGCACCGCTCCCGGTTCCTAGCCGCTCCCCGTCGTCCGCGCGGCCGCCACTAACGCTAGTCCTCAGGCTCACACCTCAGCTCAGTCCCAAGCGGAACAGCCGGCTGCCCATTAGTCTTCATCTTGACCTGCTCCAATTATGAAAGTCCTTCCAATGTTTTAGAGTATACTACGCTCCTGTATTTTAAGACCTTCCAAATCCTAACTTCCAAGAACACATTTAGTTTTTAAATTTCAGTCCTTCTTGCCTCCCTTCTAGCTTCCAGGTCTTCTAAGTCGGTCCAGGTCTACGGTAATTTAAACGCCCTTATCTTCTGAAACCCTTAACTGTCTGCATCACCAGAGACTACACAAATGAGCTTTTAAAATACTATTTTTTAAAAAACTGATTTCCTCCTGCTTATTTTTCCTCAGGTTTTGCACCTCTTCATTTTGCCAAGTTTTCTATCTTCTATTTTTTCCCCGTCTATCTTCTACGCTTCCGTCCAATAGCTGTCCTAGCTTATTCCTTCTATCAGGTGTACTTCTCGACAATTTTCTCGTTTTGTATCTTGATCCTAATCTTCTAGGCTTCTACCAAGTTTGTACTCTGCCCTTATTTACTTCCTTGTCTTTCTTCCGCTTCCTACCTTCTGGGTTTAATTTTTTCTGTCTTCTAAAGGCGTTACTTGTTTTCATCTTCTAGTTTTTCTATCTTCCCCTGCTTTCTTCTTCACCTTCCTGTCTTCCGAGTTTTCCGCTTCAAATTTCTACTTTTCTTTCTCCGTATTATTTTTATTCTATCACTCCCAATTAGCCTTTTCTATTTTTTACTTTTTAGCAAATACTGCCTGATACCTTAACTAGGCTTCCAACGACGCACTCTTTTCTACGCCATCAATTTGAAGACCCAGCTCATCACCTTCAATTTAAGCTGTTTTTAAATAACTGCTTTCAAATTATTTTAATCACATATACCCGAACTATTTCACATTTAGGTTCTGTTTAAATTATTTTCATTTTAATCTAGAAGGTTGATCTTCGATTTAAGACTTTTCTGAATTCTGGGCTCTTAGCAATCTTTTGAAAAAAGAAACTGACTCGATGAAGCAGCTTCCTCTTTTTAGCCTCCATCATTTTCTACAATAATCTTTTTTCTTCTCCCTTTCTCAAACTACTTTTCATGTTAAGTCTTCATTACTTAAATAAAACCGTTTCATCTGGTTAACTTAATAACGCTACAAAACTATTTAACTTTTCGCTAGTTATATTTCCTAAGGGTTCTATCAATTTCTATCTTTCTCTTTTTAAGGAAAAAAAAAAACCTTATCTGCGAGTTCCTCAAGCAGTCCCCTGCCTGAACTCCTACCTCTGCGCTCGCTGCCTGAATGCCTGTCGCACAGCTCCGGCGAGGCGGATTTATAGACGGAGACGTCTCACACCCTCCTGGAATTCGATAACCCTCCGCCGCCTTTGTGAGGGAAGCAAAAATAGTTCCTCGTCAGCGTTAGAATTAGTTTCTGGTTTACGAGACTTTTCAAATTTTCCGTAAGTTTGTGCAACTTTGTTGCAAAGTACATATCCATAAATATTTGATTTATTAAAAGTAGATTTGAACTGAAATTTTAGGCCAAAAAAAAACATTTAAAATGGCTGTCAAACAGCTCACAAAGACTCGGAGCCATTACTTGGGAATTTTTTAATAGCTCTTAAAAGACCTTTTGTGTTTTCGTGGCGTACAGTAGGTACTATTTACTGCTTTTTGAAGGAAGGTTAAAATGGGTTTGTTGACGGCCTTAATTTTCATTACGTAACTGAGTCAGTCTCATAAATGCAAACCGCAGCCCTTTCAGAAGCGGCCGAGTCGGAGTTTATCCCCAAACTGCCTGAAACCCTCCGAGTTGACTGAGATTACACGTCTTTTTCTTCTAGAAATCTGAGCAAAACGGGGTTATCTGCTTGAAAATTCTACTAAATGTGAAAGCCCACTTCTAGAAACTGTATTCTAGGAGTTATTAGCCATAATGTATTGTGCCTCTTGCTATAGAGCTGACGCCCAAACCGGGGGCTTTCAAATCTGAGGCATTTGTGTTTACTAAAAGCGTTTGGTCATTTCACATGCTTAATTTTTTCTTTTTGTAGTCACTAAATGTCACCGAGACCCCTGCACTTTTGGTTGGCGACCCAGTCTGTATTGTTTTTAGGCATATTCTGCATTATCCCTTCTTTAAGTCCCACCCTAAGACTTTTAATTTGAAGCAGAAAAGGAAAAAAAGCTCTCCAAACCCAAAAACCTTTTCTTTCTGTCCAGTTCGAGTGGTTTTGCTTAAAAATCACCCTCTGGATTTCTCAGCCTAAATGGAAAGCCGAGTTGAGCACGGGGACATCAAAAATTGATCCTGGGTTTCAAACATTCTAAGGAGGGGCTGGGGGAGTAGTCGGTTCTGAAGTCCAGTGTTGCCCGCGACCCTTTTTGGGTAGGGTCTGAGAAGCACACGGCGGAGGGGACAAAGGCTTGGAGACGAGCGGGGGAGGGGCACGACACAAGGGCCCCCCCCCCCCCCCGCCCTGCGCAAGGATACGCGAGCCGTGAGCCGCCGCCTCCCTTTGTGAGGCGTCGGCTCGCGGGCGGGCCGGTTCTAACCGGCTCCAGCCGGTCCCGGCCGCCTCCGGGAGCGGTGGCGGTTGACGCAGTGTGTCAGTGCGCATGCGCACACCTCCCCTCGCGCCTCCCCGCGCCTGTTCTTATCTGAGGGAATGGCATGGGGGGAAGGGCCGCATCAGGGCCCTGGGCCGGGGGGCTTCTGGGCCTTTTCACCACACTTGGGCAGGTCTTCGTTTCTTCGGGCCGCTGTCCTTCCGTTTTCGACCCAGGCTGGGTTTCTTTCCTCTCTCCTGCCTTTATCCTTATTGTCTCAAGATGATAAAAATACATGATCCCCCCTTGTAATTTACAAATACCGTTTCTTAGTAATTCCCTAGCTGTATTTATTAGTCTAGAATGTTCGAAGTAGAAAGGATTTCTGACCTAGCAGCTTCATCGTTTTTCTAAAAGGAAATTGAAGCAGTGAGATAAAATGGAGAGGTCTAGGACACGCAGTGATTTAAAGCCGGGAGCGAGAGCGAAAGACAGGGCGGTGGCATGCCCGTTCCCCCGCCTCACCTCCAGGGTTTTTATTCTAGTACCTGTAAGGTGGCTTCTGTTACAAGGCAGTAAATTATAAGGAGGAAAGGTAGTTTAGCGACATTGTATTGGCTAGGGTGGCAACTAAATAATGATACAGGAATTTTATAAAGTTAGTGCTCTCTATTTTTAAAACTGGCTCCTGTAGATGACTGTGCGGGGAGGGGTAGAGCGGAGGGTGGTACTGGCCTGATGGGCTCTAGTAAATGAGGGCACTGTATCCTATCCTATATCCTACCCACCTACCCCCAGTATAGCAGGGCCAATTTAAGCAGCTTTTGTAAATAGGCCCTGGCAAAGCTGTTTGTTTTCTGCCTTTTTTTTAGACGTCTTTAAGGGTGGAATATTACTGAGAGCAGAAGTTACCCTTGAATTCTTCAGATACAGTCTTGATGTTTGCACTGGGATTGGAAAAAAGTTAGTGGAATTTTAGCGCTGGAAGGAAGAAAATTGGGTTGGGTCACCTCATTTCACAAATGGGGATTTGGAAGCCTGGGAGTTTGTGACTCGCCTAAAATCAGACACAGCTAATTAGAACCAGAGCCTGTTCTTAAATCCCACGTTTTTCTCTCATGCTGGCCTCCTCTCTCTCCACCACTCGGCTGCTGCCGCCTCTTCCATCTCAGTGCCTCTGAGTACTGTTCCCATCCTCCCATCTGCAGATTTTGGGTTTTGTTTTTGAAGGCTGGGGGAGGACCTAGGACTCTATATGTTCTTTCTCTCACTCTGGAGTCCATGAAATGAACATTAAGAGCCCTAAAGTGCTTTAAATAATTGTTGATGTCACTGAATTTGTCATTTTCATTCCCTTTACAGATTCTAACATTTTTCTTGTACTATTAGAATTTCTCTTGTACTGTATATTATTTGATTAATTTTCCCTGTGTTTGGGGAAAGAAAGAGGGTTTAAATGAAGCTCAGCACTCAGCAATCTCTTGTACCGGAAGAGATTGTTTAGCAACGGCCAGAGAAAAGACTCTTATTTTTCCCAGTTGGTAAGTGAAAAATATTTTGGAGAAAATTATAGACGCTAAATCTATGTTTTGTTGCCAGTTTTTATTTTTTAGGCCCAAACATTTAGTCCCTTCATCTCTCCTGCTTTTGCATCACAAAACAATCTCTGCAGTCTCCAAAATATTCTGGATTCCTTCCTCCTCCCCTTTGTACACTCTTCTTTTCTGGAAGGCTTATATAAGCAAGATGGCCTAAAATTGCCATGTTCTTTGGTGAGGAGATTAATAATACATTTGATTATGTGCCCTTCTCTCCTAAGGACCCCTTTAGCATAAAACTGATCTTTTTAATTCACCTAAGCGTCGCCTTTTCTCTGTCCTACATCCGTGTTCCCTTTAACCTCCTAATGTCCGATCGAAGCTGCTTTGTGCACGGCTACTTCCATATTCTGTTTTTCCTCTCCACCTCAGTCTGAAACTCAGTCTTCATTTGGGCCTAAGGTCACAAATATGAGAGGGCAAATCCATTTTAGCTGGTCCTGTCGTGCTCCCCACTCACTGATCTCGAAACAGCCCAGGCTAAAAATAGGAGACTCTCCTGGTTTCTGGCAATGACTCTACTGACTACCAACCGTGCGACCTTGGGCACTAACCCAATAACTTCTCCGTGGCAATTTCCTTATGTGTAAAATGAGGGGATTAGGTGAAAGACGTAATGATACTAATTCTATTTTAAAATAGTAAAGGGATGGGAAGAGAATATGGAAGATTTTAGGCCTCCTGTGGCCTCAAAGAGGTGGGGCGCTGGAAAGGACTTAAGTAGCAAAAATTGAATCAGGCCTCTAGGCATGCTGTCATCTAGGCCCTATCTAATCTCCCTTCCTGACTCATGCCAGAAACCTCCAGAGAATGCCAGAATCCACTTCATCCCATTCCCTTTTTAGCAAGACCACTCAGGCTTAGTCAAGAGAAGCTTTGGGACAGTTCTACTCTGTCCTATAGGGTCACTGTGAGTCAGAATAAATTCAACAACACACAACAGCAACATAACCCAATGAACGTTAATCTCATGACTGTATTTATAGAACCAAAAAGTTTTCATGACCAGAGAGGAGAACACATGAATACCAAATCTTAATATTGTTTGTTGATGGGTCATACGTTAAAAATAAAAGCAACAACACCAGACTTGCTATACATTTAGCTCAGTCTTTCTTGTAAAATCTAATCCTTACAAAAATGACTAAACTGTAGCCCTCCCTAGGGCATATCAAGTTGCTAAAATAAAAGAGGAACTGTATTTTTAAAAAGAGAGAGAGAGAAGCTTCAGAGACTTTTCATTTAAGGCCCTGGGGTCCAGAGGGCAGTCTTGGTGAGTTTTTAGCTGCACCTAGAATCCCCCCAGGCCTCCTTGGTTTTCTTCTGTCTAATCCTATAATACCAGGAGATTGCAGTTCCCAGCCCACCTTCTCCTGCTTCCCACCCTCCCAGAGCTGATGTATGGAACAGCGTCAGCCTCTGACGATGCACAAACGTTTGGTTCCCTCATCTTTCTCACCAGCCAGCTCCTGTGGCAGGAAAAAACCCACAAGATGACTCAGCTCAGGGCTCCATTATACGGAAGAGAGATTATTATTTTCTAGGGGATTTTGGATGGCCTAAAATTTACCCTGGAGAAAGGCTAAAAACCACTGCAACCCACCAGGTCCACACATTACCACACAGAGAGCTGAGGGCAAGTCCACAAAAACAAGTTACAGAAACAAGAGTGGCTATGTCATTGTCCATCTGAACTCCCCCAAAATGATGAGAAGAAGAGGCAGCTCGGGCCCCTCCATCACAGGCACTGAGCATCACTAGGGCAGAAGAATAAGGGAAACAGATTCTCTTCTTATCTACCTGAAAGAAATAACCATCTTCTAAATTTACCATCCTCTAAAACAATAGCCCCTATAAAGAAACCTCTTTGCAGAAGGGAAGCAAGGAACAAGATGTCTTAAAAGAGCGTCCCCCCACCCCAAACACACACACACAGCCTGAGAGCTCCACTCTCAGGCTCACTGTTTCCTTCTTTAGTTTTAGTTTATCGGTCACATAATGTCCTTGGCCCTGAGTCCTACAGCCTGTTGGTGGATGTCTTGGTTATCTAGTGCTGCTGTAACAGAAATACCACAAGTGGATGACTTTAACAAACAGAAATTTATTCTCTCACAGTCTTGTAGGCTGGAAGTCCAAATTCAAGGCGCCAGTTCCAGGGGAAGACTTTCTTCTCCTCTGT